TCGATAGATACGCTTAAATTTTAATGAAGTAGTAGCAAACATTTCTTGCAAAAGTTTCGAAAATTAAAAATCAATTATCGATTATGCATAGGAAAAAGTTATTTAAAATTTTGTCCTCTATAGCATATTTGAAAATCATCAAAATCCACGAGATAATACGTCAATAGATTCATCATAAGAATACTCGACTAGTTTGTGAAACAATTTTTTATAAAAGTTTATTTGATTCGTTTATTCCTTTCAAGGAATAACACATTTCTGTCTTTTATTCCTTATTAAATAATTCTGTCATTTTTCTTTAATATCTGTTTCGTTGTTAAAATTTGGAAAGGATCTTATACTTTAAAAAATTTGTTATTTTAATTTGATGATATAAATTAAATCGAATATATTTTCGAGAATGACTATATATGCGCATTGATTGATTTTCTTGAATTTGAACAAATTGTTGAGAAACAAATTTTCTGATTGGCTGTCATCTCTAAAAGCGACACGACACACTCAAAATTGCAAGATAAATTTACAGAGCTATTTCTCTCGTTTGTTCGTTCTGAACGTACTGAATCAGACAAAACTCACACGCTGGCACCTCACAACTCACTCTCTCTCTCTCTCTCTATTTCACCATCGCATCTGTTACTACTACTTTTATCAGTGCGTCGTTGCTTACTATTTCTCGCCAATACACACACAGGCTAATTCATAAATGCACGTCCAATTTATTATTTACATATTTGAAATTACGCTAAAATTAATTAAAATATATCGTATGAAATGAATAAACGATTTTTTTATTCCTCGATTCGATACATTTTTTTTTCTTGTATAATTCTTTTACGCTTACAAATCAATACTTTGTAAAAGATATGATTCATTTGAACTCATTTTAGTCATCCAGACTCAACCTCAATTCAATTATGGACATGCATTTATAAATTATTTACCCTACATTTTTGTATCTTTTGCTTCCTAACTTTGCGCATATATATATATATATACATATATTACAGCTAACAGATATCGTAATACGTGTATGAATACAGTAGAATTAGCGTAGAATTATATACGTTACAGGCGAACGCGCGATCACACGGATAATTGGTAAAAAAAAAAAAAAAAAAAAAAAAAAAAAAAAAAAAAAAAAAAAAAAAAAAA